ACATACATTTCATTCAATGCCAAAAGCAATAAAATAATAAAAGTAACACGAGTCCACATTTGATTTGTTGACCATGTATTCATAAAAGTAACATGCATCCACACTTGCATGACAAACCACGTGTTCATAAATAATGAACACATGATTTACAATAAAAATCTAATAAAATAAAATATTACAATTATATAAATATATTAATAAAATAGTGAATATATTATTTATAGTAAATATTTAATAAAATATTAAAATTATATAAAATTTATGCGTTTGTCAAATAATGAATATATAATTTATAATAAATATATAGTAAAATATTACAACTACATAAAAATTTATGCATTCATAAAATAATGAATATATTATTTATAATAAAATAATACAATCATGTTTTATTTGTAGTTAGGAGTATTGCATCTATTGAGCTCAGTTTCTATCATTTAACTTTTATTATTTACCTTTGCAAATGTTTAGTTTTACAAGAGACAATGTTAGTGTGTTTTGTAAGGATGAATGAGTATGAAATGCATGGTGATCTTACCAACGAAGGAGAAACACATGCTACACTATCTTCATTTTATCATAACTTCAATAGTCAAGTTTCAGAAGAGCCAAGGTTCTCAAATTGTATAGTGATACTAGTAGCAAAAACAATGCAATGAATGAACTGTGTTGGAGATACAATACAATTGTCAAATATAAAACTTCTATAACTACTGTTGATAGTGAGGAAGGCTCCTCAACTTTGTTTCTTGATCGCGTGTTTTGGTCTTTCAAACCATATATAAAAGGTTTTCACTATTGTAAGCCAATCGTGCAAGTTGATGGTACATTTTTAATAAGAAAATATCATCGTACTTTGTTAATTGCTATTACGCAAGATGGAAATTGAAACTTGTTCCCACTAGCATTCATAATTGTTGAGGGAGAGACAAAGGAAACTTGGATGTGGTTCTTGCATTATTTGCGAAGGTATGTCACACATCAATCAAATTTATGCATTATATCGGATGAGGGAAAATGTTTATCAGCAACTTTACGATCAAAATAAGTTGGGTGGATTGGCCTTTGTAACAACCCAATTTTCACAGATTGTGCGAAGGCCCAAAGCCCAATAAGGGTTATGTAGTAGCCCAGAACGGGCCATTCCTAGATTGGAACGGGTCGTTCCAAACTACTAAAATGAGTGTGATTTAGTAGCCCAAAATGGGTTGTTCCCAAACTGGAACAGGCTGTTTCAAAATACAAAAATTATCAACAAATTTTAGATGGGAACGGGGCGTTCCAAACCACCAAAACCCTAGTTGGGAACAAGCCGTTCCAAACATGGCCGTTATGGGTTAAAACGTAACCCTAGAACGGGCCGTTATGGTTTTAGAACGGGTCGTTCTGGATGTGAAATTTTACGGATGACGAAGAGTCCAGAACGGGCCATTCCGAATTTGAAACGGGTCATTCCAGCCACTCCCGATGCCTATAAATAGAGCGCTCTAGCACTCCCAAAAATTACACTTTTCAGTTCTGACTTCTTTCTTCTACATTCTCTTTTTTTCCTTCTACACTCTCTAAAGACCGAGGGACACTCAGAGGAGGAGACCAAGGAGATCTCTGTTTTAGTTTCAGCTACTACTTATTGAGGTACGGGGGAAAAGGGGATTATTTGTATGCAGAGTTACATGAGGGAATTGGGTAGAGGAAGAGTCCCTTAAGATTATGAGTAATTTTATAATTATTTCTGTTTGAGGAATTGATGATCCCATTAGATTCTGTATGAGTTGAGGATTAGAAATATATATTTAATTTGTAAGAATGATGATCTGGGAGAGATAACGAAATTGTAGAAAAATGTATGTGAGTTAGGTTTTGGAAAAATTGGGGGTTTTATTATTTGAGTTAATATTCTACTAAATTGATGATTCTATCTGGTTTTAAATTTATAAATATTATTGTTACATTATTTTGTAAAATCGATGATCTAGACATGGAATGTGGTGTGCTGCCTTCGTACAATATATACATTATATCTATTGTTTTAATATTGAATTGATAACATGATGTGAGTATGTTGACATGAAATGAGATGTTGATGTGATATGATTGTGGTTCCTCACACTAATGACCAAGGATGAGACGACCCCTAGGTAAGTGATGCTATAGGGAGGGCGTGCCCTTGGCATGGTGTGGGATAAGTGAGGCAATTCACACGTATCACTTATGTCAGATGTGGCGTGGCCTTGTCATAGGGTTAATTGTAAGATTTGTGTGAATTGTGATGTGATTGGGGTTCCTCACACTAATGACCAGGGATGAGACAACCCCTGGGTAAGTGATGCTACAAGGATGACGTGACCTTGGCATAATGTGGGATGTGTGAGACAATTAACACGTATCACTTATGTCAGATGTGGCGTGGCCTTGACATAGTGTTAATTGCAAGATTTGTGATGGATTGGTGTGATTGTGAATTGTGACATGAAGATGATGCATGATTGATAGAGTTAGGATATATTGAAATGCTTGTAAATATTTCATTAAGTAATGAGTTATGATGAGATTATGTTATGAATTTTCCTTGTGTGCTTTATATATAGATGTTTTCTTTTCTCACCATACAATTTGTGGATGTTTTAGGTGAGGAAGATTCGGCTATGAGTGGCTTTTAGGTGAGGAAGATCCAACTATGAGTGACATCTAGAATGCCAATGATTGAATTGTGGGTATGCTCTGATATTGTGACATCGGGACAGAGGATTTATAGGACATGGATTTTTATATGGATTTGGAATTGTACTTATTATTTTAAAAACAATTTGTAAACTCTTATGTTTCCTTTTCTAATTTTTCTATTTTCAATTATCTTGAATATTGAAGAATATTTATGAAGGTTTTTATGTGAACCCTTTTATCGACGTTGAAAATTTTATTTCCTTAGTCTATTTACATTATTACAATATATGTATTGGAGTAGTAAGGGTGTCACAGCCTTGGTGTACATTGAGTGTACTGCATTCGACACATTGCATTGAATTTTAATAAAGCATTTCACAATGTTGAATTAAAAAAAACCATCAACATGGGTAACAACTTATTGTTATTTATTTATTTTATTTAATTAATTTTTTAATATATTTATATTTATTTGTTATTTTAATTAATTTTTTATTGCCATAAGATATGAGATGAGACAACCACAAATTGAGACAAAATTGCTTGTAGTGAGATCATAATTTCCACAAGCAACATAATGGTTAGATAAAATTATAAGTGATAAGTGGATTGAAACATATGATGGAGGCAAATGATATGGACATATGACTAACAACCTTGCTGAGTGTATGAATTCAATTTTGAAAGGAGTAAGAGCCTTGCTTATAACTGCCTTGGTCAAAACCACATTTATAAGAATTACTGACCTCTTTGTTGATAAAGGATTGCAAGCACTTCATATGATAAATGTAGGACATGTATATTGTGAAGAAGGTTATGATGCAATAAAATTGATGTATTACTAATACATATTATGTTAGGAGGTACACTTGAGAAACATGTGAGTTTGAGGTTCAAGAGATGACAAACTCTCAAGTTGGTCGACTTGCAATGGCCTTTCAGTGTTAAATTAAACGAATGGTGTGATTGTGGAGAATTTCAAGCACTAAGACTTCTTTGTTCTCATGTTATTGCAAATTAGATTATGACATTTTTGTTGATCCCATTTATAAGTTGTAAAATATTTACAAAGCTTGCGAACATGAGTTTCATCCCCTTCAAAATAAAGATTATTGGTTTTCATATTTAGGTCCAAATCTTATTTCGAATCCTACCATGAGACGAGCCACATCTAGAAGGCCAAGTACCAATCGGATACACAACAAAATGAATCTAGCAACTCAAAATAAGTTTAAGAAATGTTTATTATGTCGAATTAAAGGACATAATCATAACAATTGTCCTTTTAAGGAAATTAATATTAATTTAAATTTATGTGCATGCATTTAATTTAAATTTATGTTTATTGAAATGTTCACTTTACTATTAATATTATAGTATTTATATTATAATTAATACTAGCTATTGATATAATATTTATTATTAATAACATTTTCATTATTATCATGATATTATTATCAAATTTTATAAAAGTATTAAATAATTCATATAAAATATTAAATTAAATTTCCATGTGAGACATCACCCCTATATTATTTTTTATTATAAAATATCTAATGTACATATAAATATGTGGTGTAAATTTATTTATCACGATACATAATGTATTAAACTTTTATCATGATTTTAAATTATGATATCAATACTTTAAAATAATTAAAAGAGTACATATAATTAACCTAGTAATAAAAAATATTACCTTTAATATTAAGAATTTAAATTCAATTTAATTAAATTTTATAGAATTAATTTTACAATCATATACAAATATTTAAAATTTATTCATAATAATTTTAAAAAATGTATTTTAATTTTTATAATTTCGTGTAAATGAAGAAAAGAGACGGGAAAGGGGAGCATGTTTGAAAACACGACTAACCCCACCAAATCATTAAAACAAAAAAAAAACCAAAAAAGGAGAAGGAAGATTGTGAAAAGAAATACAATTTATTTTTATAAAAAAAATAAATCTCAAATTCAAGTATTGACTTTCACATTTTGTTTTTTTTTTTTTAAAGAAGAAGTTCATGGTTGAAAACATGATTTCAAGTAAAATAAAATAAAATCGTGTTTTAATATATGAATTTATGTCCTCTAATCAAATCTGACTATTTTATTTTTCAATTTGAAAAATTAAAAATGAAAAAATCAACTTTTTTAAAATTGACTTATATTTTTAAAATCAACTCGACTTACCCTAGTTTCAATTTTTTTTTTAAACCTACCCATTTTGAATTTTTTTTAAAAAATTACACTATGGATAAAAAAACCACATCCACATCATGATTAATTAGTCCGTAAAGTTTACAAAATAGAAATTAACAAGAGCGAATCTTTTGGGAACCAGCAATTTAGCGCCTAAATCGTATATTCATATTCAGAAACGTGGTCTCCCGCCTAAAGCTATATTATACCAAAGAAGTAGAGAGACACGATATGATTATGAAGTGATAGCATCAGGCGTTATGAAAACTGAAGCGAATGCAAAAGGAAAAATGGTCTCTGCGACGAACCCTAACCCTAAAAATGTGTACCACATCGGAGGCCTTCAAGTGGAATTTCCTTACCAACCGTACGGGTCTCAGTTTGCATTCATGGGTAGAGTAATCTCAACGCTTGATCGAGCTCAGAGAGAAGGCCATTGTCACGCGTTGCTCGAGTCTCCAACCGGTACTGGCAAGTCCCTTTCGCTTCTCTGTTCCTCTCTCGCTTGGCAGCGCCAATATAAAGATAAAGCTAAACAGCACAAACTCAACCTCGCTACGGAGGCAACCACCGATCCTCTTGCTCATGGCGGCGGATTTGTTCCGGAGGAGGTTTCGCTTTCTTCTGGTAACTATCTCTTATAATCCTTATTTAATTTTTTTTTTGTGTGTGTTGTCCTCAGCAAATTGTTCTGCTTTTAGCATCAGAAAATGTGGACCGTACGCAGCCTGAGGTCGGCAACAAGAAGCAGAAGAAAAAGGAAGCGCCGACTATATATTATGCCTCGTAGGTTTTATTATTATTATTATTATTATTTTTTTACCATCGACTTATCAATTGATTTCCTTTTTTATTTTTTATTTTATTGCATAAGTAATTCATGGTTATGAATTGAGAATTTTTTCATCGACTGTTGTTATGGTTTCATGCATTTAACATTGCTAAATATTGTAGAGATCAGTAGATTAGATGGATTCATATTTTCAAGTTTCAACTAGCATTCTATAATTTAAAGTATGGGCATCATCACTTAACTATGTCATTTTTTTTTGTTACACTGTATAAGGAGAACGCACTCGCAAATTTCTCAAGTGATTCGTGAATTGCGGAAAACGGCATACAGGGTGCCTATGGCTGTGTTGGTAGGTTGAATCCGTTTCTTTGATATCACTGTTACTTTTTATGTTGAGTCGTTCGATTTTGTTGTTTTCTGATCATTTTTGGATTTCTCCCTACTAATTTACCTTTGTTTTGCGTTTTTAACCAATATTAATGAAGATTACGCAAAATGTGATTTTGTTTGGTATCGTTTTGAAGAATGTGACTATGCGGCACTTCTCCAATCTGAAGTATTAATTGTCGCACCTTAATAATAAGCGGATATTTTCTTTTGATTCTGAAGCATATTGCATGTTAGTTTTAAAGCATTGCTGATGAGTTACCAATAAACAGCCAACTCATATGATAAGGATTTTAAGTTAGCATGAGTTTTAGTAAAAAGTCAGTATGCCTTATTACCACTCATTCTTGGATATGCAAAAAGATTTTACTTTCAGTAAAGTGATATGGATTTAACTGAGTATTTTTCCCTCTTTTTTCCAGGCATCACGGAAGCATTATTGCACAAATAAAAATATAATTGGCAAAGATAATATCAATGAAGAATGGTTGCTACTTGCTTTTACCTTGATAATTTTTACTTTACATTTCCCCTTTAATCTTCGTACTGATATATTTTATAAAATGTTCTCATCTAACAATATTCATATTGATACTGTTTTGTAAAATATTCTCAGTAAACTATTATTGAAAGATCAGGAAACAGGGTGTCCGGAATTCAAGTGAGTGTATGCGTATCCACTCATGCTTCCTATCTATTTTTTATATCACTCTTCCTGAAGTAACTGAAATGAGAAACCTACAATCTATGCAGAAATGCACATAAAGTCAAAAGTCATCAATCCCTTCAGAAAGGAGGATGCAATGAGGTGCATGACATAGAAGATCTTGTAAAAGTTGGGCAAGTGGTAAAAGGTTTGGCCTCTTGTGATTTTTGTCTTTTATTTATTTGTTTAAATGTTTATGCTAAGCTTTTTGAAGTACAAGACTTATGCTGTTTTCACTTTCAGGTTGCTCTTATTATGCAGCTCGTTCTATGTCAGATGATGCACAGTTGGTATTCTGTCCATATAACTACATCATTAATCCAGTAATACGGGCAGCAATGGATGTGGATATTAAAGGAGCCATAGTGATTCTTGATGAAGCTCAGTGAGTTGTTAATCTCTTTCATTTTAGTTGCCAAGTCAATGAAACAGTTCTTAGGGTCCAGTTAGATGGAACTGGCTTTATTTTGTTATTTTAGATATTAGATAGATTCTCATTCCAGATGTCTTTCACACACCAGTTGTATGCAAGCCAATCTAGAGCTAAATGGCAATTTTTAATAGTTTGGCAGTAGTATATTCCTGGTTTTCTCTATGAAACGTCCCTCACATGCTTGCACTTTGCAGCAATATAGAGGACATTTCTCGTGATGCTGGCAGTGTGGATCTTGAAGAGGATGTTTTGGATAGTATGTTATGAACCTTATTGCTTTTCTTTTCATTGTCACTAATAATGTTGTTTACTTATATGGTCATTGATACCTTTGTAAGAACTACAAATGGAGCTCCAGCAACTTTGTTCTGTTAATGCTGCAATTTACCAACCGCTATATGAAATGGCACAGGTAATAGGGTTAGATATTGGGTTTGAAATGTTTGACTTGTAAGTGTTTTCCTTGGTGCCTATAACTTTAACAAGTGCTGCATTTGTGTAGGGCCTTACTAGTTGGATGGAACAAAAGAAAAACAAGCTAGAAAAACGTGATTTTCAGCACTATGTGTCGTGGTAAGCTAAGGATGTTGTCGTTGTAGTTGTATTATTTTGTGAATGCAATTTTCATTTTGTATTTTGGATCTTGAGGCTGTAGAAATTCCAAGTATTATAGAAGTTCATGTGTTATAGATTTGATATAAACATGCTTGATTGTGTCATTTGCTACTAGTAGTTGATTGGAATTGCAATAATCAGACTGAATAAAGGATATTGGGAAAAGGAGACTTCACTGTGTGTTCTGCACCATATGATATTTTTTACTCATTGTAACTCTTTCTATGTTGGGTTGGGATGGTACTCTTAACTGTAATTTTGTTGCATGTTATATTATTTCTACTCTTGATAAGGAACATGTACTTTCTTTCTCCCGAGTACATCTTCATTTATTTATCTGCCCAGGAAATGACCTATTAAGTTTTTTTGAAGCCAGTTCATGTATTAATAAGGAAATGATCCTTTGATTGCCTAGTGTTCACGTATGATATTTATTGTTTTTAAGAATTGAAGGGTTGCTACAAGCTTTAAGTACTTGTGGTTAATTTTGTTATTTTTTTAAACTCCATTGCAATTTAATTGATATTTTGAGAAAAAATTATTTAACTGTTGTCATATGGTGGCTAGAGCCTCATAAAATAAAACTCATAACTTGTGAATTATATCCGGGATTCATTGACATAAGCTTTCTATATGTATAGTTGGACTGGTGATAATGCTTTAAGAGAGCTTGAAGAAGCAAATATTTCAAAGCAGTGTTTCCCTATCTTGCTAGAATGTGCTACCAAGGTATATCATTTATTTGGCATTTGGATTTGGATTATTCTTATGTTTGCATTGTCATTTATCAACTTGATATTTTGTTCAAGGCAATCAAAATTGCTACTGACTTGGAGACTGATGCACAGCATTTAAGTGGCATGTCAGTGATAACATTGGAAGGTCTGGGTTTATGGTTATTATGTGTTGTACTGTATTCCGTTATTGACACCATTCAATATTTGTTACTACCAATGATATTTATTGATCTCATTTCAGGCTTTTTCTCATCACTGACTTATTTCTTCTCAAGAAATGGATCTCACATGTTGGATTACCAGCTTGCTCTTCAGCGATGTGTTAGAAAAGATAGTGGTAAGTTGTTGCAATTACAGACTAACAATAATATCCAGAAGAACCACAAACGATATGGTTGGTAGCTAGTACATAAGTGAATGCTAAATGGTTTGGAGTTAAATCGATTTTTTGAGGCCTTTATTGAAATATAATAGAATCTAAATTAACTAATTGAAATCATTTATGTGGAGATAACATTTTAAAAGATTTGTTTTATGTCAAACATGAAAGATTAAATTGTTTAATTTTTGGAACATATAGAGTGTGTTTGTATAAACGTTCATCTAAACGTTAACGTACGTTTGTCTAAAGATGCCTCAGACTTACTTCTCCGTTTCGTGCTTCAGAAATTGGGATTGTCCGTTTGAAGCTTCTCAAACAGAAATCCAAACATGCACTTAGTGGTTCTGAAATATATGGTGCTAGAGTACTGCACAGAACATTACTGTTACCAGAACATAAAAAGGAGACTTGACATGAGATATAAGACAGTGCATTTAGTTTGTGAATTGAATACAAACGAGGACCCTTTTCTTTTTAAGATTGGGAACTAATTATATAGGTTGCAATGATTAAATGGTTTTGTAAAAGGTTATAATAGCTAGCATATAACTATATATCTTATGTTTCCCTCGGTTATTACTGCATTATTATAATTACCATTCATTGGTTCTATGTCAGGAAGAGCTTTTGGAAACTGGACACACACTCTAAGTTTATGGTGCTTGAATCCAGCAGTTGTGTTTAGAGATGTTGCTGATCTTTCTTTATCAGTCATCTTGACTTCTGGGTAAGCATTGTGTGAACAGGAACCTATATGGCAAGCCCAAGTTTATACATGTCCAGATCTTAATTCTTAGTATTTTTTTTCCTCCTATTTCAAGCATGCATCTTGAAACATATTCCTGAGTGGTGCATGCCTATAAAACAGTGCAAATTTCTCGAGTATGGAGGAAACTCCTACTGAAAAGCCAGTGTCTATAGCCTGACCTGATCATCTAGACTGATAATGAGCCAGTTAGGTCCAGGCCACTTAACCCTGATTTCATGTAAGCATATTTGACCCAGGTTCTGTTGCAGTTATTGGCAGAATTAACCTGCTTTTCCATGCTAACTTTCCTGAAAAGTGTCTCTCTTGGAATATCAAGTATTCCAGTAATGTATTGATGTCTCAAGTATTATGTTAAAATATCTCAAATTAACTTGGCATCTTATTTGAAAAACTGTATCGTTGGACAACATTTTTCCTGTTTAGACAATAGACATTCATATTTCAGAGTAATAATGTCCGTAAGAGGAATGCTTGTAACAGTTTCTCTAATACTCTCTTAACACTTTCTTTACTATTGACTAGTATTTATTGAAAGTCACAAATTTGGTGGGTCCTATCTCTCATCTAATGAGTCTCCCCTAACTTAGAAGTGAGATCCATCAAAATTTCTGATTTCCTTCTAGCTAGTAGTCAAGGTGTTAGAAAGAGTGCTACTAGCATTTCTCATGTTTGTTAATATGCCTAACGATATGTCTGGGTGGCAGAAATAACCTATTAACAATATTCTGTGTAAAGTGTTTGTTGAAATGTAGTTCCAGGAGACATTTCTACCTCAAACATTCATGGTAAAGTTAAACTTTCACCAAAAAATTGATATTTGATATATATGTCATTCACATTTTTATTTCTAAAATGAGTTTGCTAGCTAGTTTTATTTTTAATTGCTATGACACCCAGCATGTGAGGGCCAAATTTTGTTTAGAAGTTAGATCAGTTCTCACAATTCTACTTCCTATCATCCTTGTAGTATCATTTATGAACTTATTTTGGTACTTCAGGACACTGTCACCAATGACTTCCTTTTCTTCCGAGCTTGGAGTTCATTTTGAAACTAGTCTAGAAGCTCCTCATGTAATTGATGTTGACTCACAGGTCTTGGCTACTTCTCAATTATCCTTAAAGTTCATCATTCCTTTTTGTGCTGTAAGTTCTTTGTTAAACAAGTTATGATCTCTTGAATGTAGGTGTGGCCTGCTATAATCTCCACTGGGCCAGGCAATTATCCTCTGAATGCAAGTTATAAAACAGCAGATGGATATGCATTCCAGGTATGCTTGCTCAGCATATATTCTTCAACAAATGCTATTCTCTTCTCTAGAACACATCTGTTTATTATAAGCTATGTGATAGAATCTATCACTGATTTAGGATGCGGTTGGAAAATCTTTAGAGGAAATCTTCAAGATTGTTCCAGGTGGATGTCTAGTGTTCTTTCCAAGTTATAAATTGATGGAAAAATTATGCAACCGTTGGTCTGAAACAGGTCAATGGTCTAGGCTAAATGCAGAAAAGTCTCTTTTTGTTGGTGAGTTATCCTTATATCCGAATGCTTTCTGTATTGTGGACTAGGTTTAAGATCTGAGTTTCTGTTGATATTTATGCTTTTACTTTTCCTCATCCTTTTCTCTACGAAGTTCAAATGTTAAAGTGGAAAGACATTATTTTTGGTATTTATATCCAAAATTGATTTTGTTGTCTTGGCAATAGTTTTTGGTTGAATTAAGAATTTGTATTGTGCTTGGTGTGCAGAACCAAGAGCTGGAAGCCAAGATGATTTTGAACTTACAATAAAGGGGTATTATGATTCAATTCATCATGGAAAAAGACCTGCATTGGGAGGGAAAAAAAGGATTAAGAAAAGTGATCTAAATCATGTTCATGCAGTCGATTCCTTACAGAATTCTATGAAAGGAGGAGCTGCTTTACTTGGTGTTTGTCGAGGAAAGGTGTGCCACAATTTTACTTGTATCTAATTATTTTAGATGCTGCTTTTATAGGGCAACTATTGTGGAATTTGATTTTTTCCATGTTTTAGTAGTTTAGTTATATTGTTGTACAGTTGTTTCCTAGATAAGGCCTTTTTTATGTGAGAGTGAGAGAAACAAAAATTAATAACTAGATTATACTGTGAATGATTAAGATTAAATCATACAAGTCACTTGAGTTTTTCAAAAATTCACATCACTATTTTAAATGATCATGTGATTTTAAAAAACTTTTAATCTTGACCATCCATGTATAGTTTTACTGGTATGGTCAAAATTTATTCCTCACTCATAAAAAACCTCTTGTTAGTAGATTTTTTTCTTCCGGTGAATTCTTCCTACTAGATATGACACATGTGTTGGGAATGTTAAATTCCTATTTGGTATGCGAATTTTAAAAATCATTTGCAGGAATTTAACTTTCCTAGAAATCTTTTTTTAATTAAGTTTCCCTCTAAAACTTCATAGGAAGGGTTAAGAATCCAAGATTCCCTTGAAAGAAGATATTTTCTTATAACTATGTTTTAAAAGAAGTATAATTCCCAGTAAATATGATTTTCTTACGGGTGGAAAAGTTTCTGCATACAAAATGCCTCTTAAGAATAATTCTTAGTAAAATTATTCTCTTTAATAACTTCTTTTATATATTAAATTTTATTAATCCAGCAGTTAAATGAAAATGTATTAAGTAGATCAATCTGTAAAATTTTGTAAAATTTTAAAATTGTTTGCTACTTTATTAACTTAATATCATGTATAATATACTTTTTAATAATTTAATTAAAAGTCATCAACAAGAGTACACAATTACAAATGTTTGATACTCTGATTTCTCAAACATTTTTGGTGTGCATGCTTGTTCAGTTAATATCAAATTATTCAATGTAAGAACTAATAATTTACATAGTTACCGACGAGACTAATTTTATTAAGACTTAGTCTTTGCCATTATTCATCTTCTTAAGAGTTTATTTTCCCACTAACCCAAATGTTGTGATAAATAATTAGCCCAATTTTGTTTGTCTTCTTGGATTTATAATCTTTCCATATTACAAGTCAATCCTTGCTCGAAAACCTTATAATATTTTTTCCATCTCTTTGATATCTAAGTTTTGTAATACAATTTATTCCTCATCTTTAATGCATCTTACTTGGTCCAAATCACTTGATTTTGGTTCTCAATTACTGGCAAGTTTATATTTCTTTTGTTCTCTCTTTTTTTGTCCCAAGATCTTGTTAAAACCCAAAAGCTTTGTGTAGTGGTTCCCCTTACCTTTTACCAGTAACTTTTTCTTAAAAGTCAAATGCATTGCACTATTAAGTTGTCACCACTTAATTCTTGTATTCTTCTTTGTTTATGATTCTTAAAATAGACATCTTGGATCAATACCTTATGTTGTATAGCAAGTCTTTCTCTTGAAAGCAGCTTGCAATTCTTTCAAGCCCTTTTACTAGAGCTCCTTATCAAAACAAAAATAAAAATTTTGCAACCTTAAAGTTCGTCACTTATAAGTGATTAAATGTTCTTCCCACTTTTTAAGATACATGTCCATAATTTTGAAGTCATATGCTGCCACGAGCTCGCTAAAACCAAAACTGTCACAAGCTCTTGTTAATTGCCTTATCTCACTTCCAACATATCTATTTAGATCTCTACCAATAAGAATGTTTTTTTTAATGAAAAACTTGAACCAACCCCTTGAAATCTTTCCAAAACTTTTCTTTAAAAAGTACTGTAGATCACTAGATCCTATTTGTAGTGTATAACACTGATGATAATGTAATCTTCTGTGCAACAATTAATTTTATAGATAAAATCTAGTCCCCAAGCCTTTTTACATCCACCACATTCTCCTTCCATTTCTTGTTCATGATAATACTTATTCCATCATTTTATCTAATTTTCCTTATGTACTAACCAAAGTTTAAATCTTGTCGTGTCTAGCTCCTTAGCTTTTTCTCCAGTCTATTTAATTTCTTCAAGACTCATGATGTTGATCCTTCTCTGAATCATGGTATCCACCACCTCCAAAGATTTTCTTGTATATTTCAAGTACCAAGTCTAAGTGCCGATGTGAAAACCGTTGCTCATTTAACATTACATCTAGGGATCGATGTAGTGACTCTAATTCAGTTAACATTATACCCGAGTCATATAGCATATTACTTCCAAGTGATCCATGTTTAGGGTTTCAACAAGAATGATATTGGCTATCAATGTCTTAACACAACCCTCTTGGGTTGGGACCAACTATGAGACTATATGTAGAGTTTTTAATTGTGGTTTATTTGAATTGAATAATTTGCTACTATTTTAATTGATTAATTTCTATTTGTATGTTTACATTTCGTTAATTTCAATTAGGAAATGACATTAAAAGTAGTTGGGGTGTAAATAAACAATGTCAATAGTGTAACCGTTATTTAAAATGTTTTAATCTATGTTAATAATATGACTGCTTTAAGATATATGAATTCGATTTACCTTTAGCACAATTATTTGTGCTCATTATTATATGCTTGTATTTATTCGATTGACATAATATAATGCTTGTATTTATTTGATCGACATAATATAATGCTGGGTTGCAGGTTTCTGAAGGTATTGATTTCTCTGATGATAATGCCAGAGTAGTTGTATCCTTATTTCTGCTTATAATTTATTGTTCGCTATTCTTTTTTTTTTTTTTTTTGGGGGGGGGGGGGGTTTTTATT